AGGCTTCGTCGTCAAACTCAATGACCAGCTTTCCAAACTGTTTTCCCTCGTCCATGTCTCTGAACAGGCTTTCGATGCCCTCGATGTTGGTCAGCCCCTTGACGACGCGGCTCACAACTGGGACCACCTTGTTCTCGCCCACAAACGCAATCATGTCCCTGAACTCCAGGCGCGAGCCCATCGTAGACCCCTTGAGGTCAATGTTCTTCAGGACGGCCTGCATGTTCCACTCCATCTTGGGGGCGACCGTCATGCCGTACTGGCTGATGACGCCACCGGCCTTCAACAGCCGCACGGACCGGGCGATGAGGTCTCCGCCGGCCCCGTCGATGACAGCGTCCAGGTAGGGGCGGTCGGCGGGGAGCTGTGTGGCGAGAGTCTTCTCCCAGCGGCTATCCGTCTTGTAGTTGACGCCGCCGGCGGCCCCCAGCTTCTTTGCCCGCTCAATCTTGGTGTTGTCGCCCGACGTGACGTAGACGTTGCACCCGTACGCGACGGCGAACTGCAGTACCGACAGGGCCACGCCGCCGCCGATGCCGGTGACGAGGATGTTGCGGCCGGGGAGGGCGTTGCCAGACTTTGTCACAAAGGCGCGCCAGGCGGTCAGGCCGACGACGGGCAGCGCGGCACCCTCGGCCGGCGAGAGGTGGGATGGAGCTGGCTCGACCTCGTCAGCGGCGACGACGATGTAGTCCTGCGCCATGCCGGCCGGAGTCACGACGGAGCCACCATTGACAGAGAAGCGAGAAGGGTCTTCTGGTCCGTCGGGATTGGTAGCCCAGCCACGACAGGGGGTCAGGATGACAGGCTTGTGCAGGAGAGTGGTGGGGGCGCCGGGCCCAGCAGCGACGACGGTGCCATACCCATCGGCGAGGAGGGGATTCTCAAAGGAGATGCCGGGGTAGAGATGGCGACGGATGAAGAGATCACGGTGGTTGAGCGCGGCGGCAGAGAGCTTGATGAGGAGCTCGTTGGGGCCAGGTGTTGGCTTGTCAACCTGGTTGACTTGAAGGCTAGGGGGCAGCCGGTCAGATGAGCTACCAAGACTCGTGGGAGAGGCACAAAATCTTACGGATAATACACCTTGCCAGGCTTGCCGTCTATTTTCTTGATGGTAAGCGTGTGAGGCATGATGTTGAGAGTGGCGATGTCAGGGGCTGTCAGGTAGATATCTCGGTGCTTGCGCTTTTAGCGTCTCGGAGCCAATTATCTAAGATGATACTCTTGAAACGAAACGTCCAAAATCAATGCGAGGTACGCAATCCTGTTGTCCTGAGATGACGACCAAAAGAGGCTTGCAATTATTAGTCGATAGATGTTGATGATACAAGTCTGAAGGAAAGAAGAAGTGAGTGAAGACCGGACCGTAGACGCCTTCGCCCTCGCGGATGAGTGGAGAAAGAACCTTCGGGCAACACGCTATGCGGTGGCAGGGGGGTGCTTTCATGCCACCCCCCGGAGGGCCGGGGAGGGACTTCTCCAAACGGAATAGTCCCAATTGGATCCGGTGCGGGGTCTGTTGTTACGGTCCCGATTCAGCCATTTTGCTGTGCTCCTGTTGTTGTGCTGTGTCTTGTGCTGTGTCGATTGGCGATGTGGAAGAGTACCTTGTGTCCTCTACCGACAGGCAGGTGGGTAGGTGGGTACCTTAGGTGAGGTAGGTACCTAAGGTACCCAGAGGTGCCTACCTTACCTGACCTTGGGTACCTAGGTCGAGAGGTTTTACACAGTTGGCCAACATGTTGTAAACTGACCCTTGCCTTCACTGCATCGTCCAAGAATTAAAACACAAAAAAGTCTATAAGGACCTTGCCAATGGCACGTCTCCAGAGGCAAGCCGTCAACACCTCATCGCCCCAAACTCGAAAGGCGGCTGACAGATCGCGTGTTGCAGGGAATCTTTCGAACAAGCAGGGACATCGCCCCTCTCCACGTCAAGTTCAAATGCCGAGACGTTGCTGACTTGTCAGCTCGCCGACAATGGTCCCCGACGGCGATCTGCTAGACAGGCTTCAGGGGGTTGATCTGCCGCTAGACCATCCGGCTCGTTGTCCCTACCCAGCATCAGGTCGCCGACAAGCTCTTCCCCACACCATTGGATTGCTCGAGAGCCATCCTGATGAAGCAAAAACCAACCTCGTTTCCACGTCTGTGTCATGTCTTCGACTTCCAAAGGGTCAGGCAGGCGACGCCTCAAAGCGGGAACCAAACGCCGCGATGCCCACTCCAGCGCTAGCGCCCATGTCGCAATGGGAATAAAGCAACTCGCCCGCCCTCATCCACCTCAATAACCGTCCCCCAGTTTTTTGTATTTTATTTCTATAGCTGCACGCAAGTTCATCGTCGACACACTGCCGAGTTACGCCCCAGTCATCCTCCTCAAGAAGTGCGTCAACCCGACCATGGCAACTACAGCCCTCTCTGGCGTGGCCTTTGGCGCCGGCCTCGCTGCTGCCGGAGTCTACCACCCAGCCGTCATCACGAGCCAGCTCAAGCTTGAGAACTGGCATATGATCCAGGCCTTCCTCGCCGCCGCGGCCTCCAGCGGGTAAGGTGTACTTGCTTGGCTCTGCCCCAAGCCCGAGCCAAAAGAATGGGGGGGAAAGGGATAGACATATCTGACACGCACCAGTATTGCTGTCCTCCTCCTCGACCGCCTGGGCTACTATCACCCCAAGCCACGCTCCGCCTCGCGGATGGGGCTGTTCGGCCCTTACGACGGCAACATTCTCGGCGGCGCCCTCCAGGGTCTCGGTATGGCCCTCGCCGGCGCCTGCCCCGGCACCGTCATTCCCCAGGCCGCCGTTGGTGTCCCCTCAGGCCTCTACGCCCTCTTCGGCACCCTCATCGGCGGCATCGCCTGGTCCGGCTTCATCTCCTCCCGCGCCGCCCGCGCCGCGTCCCGCGCTCCCGCCGAGAACCCAAAACTTACCGTCCAGGAACGCCTCGGTATCTCCTCGACCGCCATCTTCACCATCTTCGAGGCCATTTGCGCTGTCGCCCTCTACACCGCCGGCACTGCCTCTGCGCCCAGCCGCTACGCAGCCATCAACCCGGCCCTCGGCGGCCTCTGCATCGGCCTCGCCCAGCTGTTCTCCATGCTCGTGCGCAAGACCATGGTCGGCGTCTCCACCGCCTATGAGGAGGCAGGCAAGCACTTCTTCTGGCTCGCCGAGGGCGCGTCCGGCCCTCGCCCCGGCGCCAAGAACCTCCTCTTCGCCGCCGGCGTCGGTGCCGGCGCGCGCCTGCTGACGAGCTGGGATCCCGCCTTCAAGGCTGGCGTCAGCGACATCACCGTGGACCCTCTGCTCGCCGTTGCCGGTGGCGTCTGTCTCGCCGTTGGCTCGAGGCTGGCTGGCGGGTGCACTTCTGGCCACGGCATCAGTGGCATGTCCATGTTCTCGACCTCGAGCTTTGTCACGATAGTGTCCATGTTTGGCGCCGGTGCCTTGTTCATGCCTCTTTTCATTTGATCGTATTTTGTGAAGGATTGCTTACTATGGCGACTGAGCGATACTATTCGTTGTTTATAGACCTGATCTCTGCATACTGAAGCAGTAGCAAACGTACATTTTTTTTCCAGTTCATGTATGGAGAGTAAAGGTCGGCGACTAAATGACGGGCTTGTCCATCATCTGCAGCCACCCGTCGACGCGTCTCAGAAATGCCATGCCGTAAGCGCTTGAAGTCACACAAAGAACCGCAGAACGTTTGCTTCTCGATAGCCTGCTTGAATGCTTACGTCGAGGACTGTTCCAGCAAGTATCTTGCTGGGCCAGGCCTTCACACGAAGTCTGGCACACTCCTACGCTCCGGCAAAACACTCGTCCCAGTTCGTCTCGCCGTGACCTCGATCTCGATCTTCATCTCGTCCTTCATGAGGCCGGCCTGCACCATCGTTGCCGCGGGCCTCACCTCGTCAAACCACTCACGCAACACGGGCCACGTCTTGGGGAAGTCGTCGCGGTCTGGCAGGGTATACTGGACGCGGACAACGTCGGCCATGGACGCTCCGGCCTGGGCCAGTGCCGACGCAATGTTGCGCAGTGTTTGCGCTGTCTGCTCGGCAACATCGGGCGAAATTACGCCCGTATCGTAGTTGTAACTGAAAGGTCAGCCCTAGGCTCGAACATGTCCGATGAGGCAAATCTAATTACCCAGTGGTGCCGGAGACGAGGATCCAGTCACCCGTCACAACCGCTCGCGAGTAGGCGATCTCGGCCTCGAACTTGGACCCGGAACTAATGTTAGTTCTTGACATGTTGGTTGAAGTATGCGTAGAAAATCGTTATTTAGTTTATGGTTTGCTGCTACATAAAGCACGTCTGAACAGGCCAGTTGTATAGATCTGGATGCAAGTGACTCACGTTTGACTTCGGCATGGGTGGTCTTTCGCCGCACGTGCGAGGATGACTGATGACACCCCGCCATCGTCACCGAGAGGAGGATCGGTGAAGCTTTGGGTACAGAGAATACTACGACATCTCGCATCATGGAACAGGTATGCTCGTGCTCTATTGTGACGCTGACCGCCCGATGGTAATTGAGAAATGCGGACAGACTGCGCTTATGTCGTCAATGTCCTGGAATTGACTGACTGTTCGAGCAGCTAAAGCGTCCGGCTGGCCTTCGGCTGGTCACTCCATCCTTGGCTTATCATCGTCAGACAGGACAGCCGAGTTTTCCTGGACGTGAGATTCATGGGAGGCCAACAAGCCTGTAAGAATAGAAAGAGCAGGCAATACCCGATCGCACCTTCCTGGTTGCTACCTGCCGTGGTCTTTCCTTACAATACTGTACCTGCCAAAGTGCCCAGGCAGCACCTTCCGACTGCATCACGTTCAGGTTTCTATCGAAATAAAGGTGGGATATATCTTTTCCTTCTACACCTCACCCTGAGCAGCACCTTCTCTACACCCTACGCCCCAGACCGCAAGTCAATCATAAACACGCTTCCATCGATCTTCCCTTCGTCCATTCGATCGCATTATCCCCATAGGTACCATACTTCGATCATGAGCGTTGAGACCACGTGGGGAGATTATTCATGGGCGGTCCCCAGCTCCTGCTCCTCGCCCCTTTCCGATCCTCCAGGCTCAGAGTATGAGCCTGATCCATCCTCACCTGGCCATAGTTGGACCAACCAACCTGCCACTACAGCAGCTGCTGTTGTGGCTCCGGTCACGCCTCTGCAAAGCGGCAAAGGACATACTTCCCCCAACCAGGAGGAACCCTCCGACGGCAGCCCTCCTGCCGAGAAGAAGAGAACCACTCGCCAGGCTAAATCCGCCAAAGGTTATCCCGAAGGTATTGCCCGCCTCACCCGCTTTGGCAAGGGTACCTATGCCATCGGCCACGGCCCGCTCCCTGACGATATCGACTGGACCCAGATACCGGTGCCCGTGATCAAGGAACAGCTGTTTATGCGGGACGTCTCCAGGGTGGGCAAAAAGGCTGAATTGATCGAAAGAATCCAGAACTAGAAGAGCTGGGTAGCACCTGCCGAGGCAGAGCTCGGCCTAACACACGAGGCCGCATTCGAGGTCGATGATGGAATCGCCGCCCAGCGGCGCCCAGGTGGCTTTCGCAAAGGCGCCGACGAGAAGACTCATGCATCTACCAAGAAGGCCCTCACACAGCGCATGACCTTGGTCAAGCGTCAGGACGCCACTGAGTGGGATGGCTGGGACACTTATAGCAGCCCCGCGAATACCAGCTCCGCCGACTTCTACATTCGCGGTTCTGACAAGACATACTGCGTCACCATCAAGGATTCACCCAAGTGCGACTGTCCTGCCAAGGTAGGCCAGTCATTTTCACATTCGTGCTTAGATTGCACCGGGCTGATGTCCTGCAGAAATACAACCCCCAAAACCACTGCAAGCACATTATATGTGAGTACCAACTCATTGTTTGTAGTGAACCTGCCTCAAGCATCTGCCATTGTAATCCTCAAGAACGAGATGTTGACACTTTACAGATGTCCTAGTTCATATTTTACGGGCGCCTGAGGCTCTCATACATCAAAGGACACTCCTCGCGGACGAAATCCGGGCACTTCTGACGCAAGGCCCAAACCTCCGTCCTACCTTGGACCAGATCAACAATGATCCAACCATGAAGGACGGCATCGCCAAGGACAAAACCGCGCAAGATTGTCCCGTCTGCTACCAGTCCCTCGGCGACGAGGACTCCGTTATTTGTGTCACCTGTGGCCGCCATGCCCACGAGTCTTGTCATAAGGAGTGGGAGCACGAGAACAGCGGCTGGGGTCCTCTCAAGTGCCTCACCTGCCAAAGTATCTGGAAATAGTTTACCGGAGAGTCAGACCACACGGAGGGTGTCCTGAACCTCCGATGCAGCGAGATGACCGAACTCTGACTGCCTGAGTTCATTATGGAGGCGTTATCTTGCTATTTGCACTTGAAGGATCGGGGTCAGCGCCAGATAGCGCAAAGATTTACTATTGCTAGCCAACTAAGAAAGGCTCGAAATGTTATGCGTTCCGAAGGACAGACATGTCACTGCAGGCCTGTGAACTATGTTATCCGATGTAGCACTCCCCCGAAAACTATATATCATGGAGCCAAGCTCTGTTCACATAGCAACGTAGCACGTCCAAGTGGGGAGCCTGAGAAGAGCGAACATCGTGATAATATAACTGACGTGTATCAATTTGACAGTTGCAGGACCTCCTGGGAGCTTCCATTGGCATTCATACCCAGGACATCTTTTTGTGGAGCGCTAAACGATCTCCATGTTACTCGCTTGGAAACGGCCACTTAACCAACGGAATTTTCTGATTTATCGAGAGACTGCGTTCTCGACCCGGAACGATGTGACACCGGGAGCGTTGCTCTCAGCTGAGAGCCCACCCCCCCCCCCCCCCCCCCTTCAAGGACGTGGATTGACTTTCTCACCACGCGCGCCTTCATGCCAGACATCAACCAGCGAGCGAAGCCTGGGCCTCCCGAGCCCGAAAAAGTTGAACGCCTCGAGAGGCAAAGACTTTTACCCCCCCTCAGCTGCACAGCGCCTGTCTCGGAGCGCTGAGGGCGGCGTTGAAACATTGCAGCCACCGCAGGCAGCGTGACCTCGGGAGATGATAAGACCTTCCATGAAGTCGAGCCCCTCCTTTGTGTTCCACGACAGATCGAGAAGTGCCAGTCGGGGAAGTGATCCGCCCTCTCGGGTCCAGTGAGCCCAGCAGGTCACTGCACTCGCTCGTTGAAGACCTGGGGAAGGGAAAGGGCGGTGGTTGTCCAAGGATCAACCTCCGAGTCCCGGCCGCAGGGCTATTTCGAGTGAGAAAATCTCCGCGTCAAGCGCCGTTTTCAGAATTTCGGAGCGTGTCTCCCAGGCCCGTCGACCCGTAAACATCAACAACAGGCATATCTTTTTCGCGTTTGGATGAGCCCGTCTCGGCGCGGCTGAAATTTGCGTTTCGTTAAACGAAAGAGGGGCGCCTCTGCGCGTGTTGTTGACAACCCGCAAAGTGCCCGGTTCGCAGGACGAGGATTCGGCGCGATGAGGTCATTGCATCCGAACCGGTTTGCCGCAAACAGAGCTGCAGCCGAGCAATTGATACGAGACCATGAACGTATCGGGCTACCCAAGAGGATCGGCTTGTGCCCGTATTGGTTTGGAAGACCAGTGACTAGTCCAGGCACTGTTTTGAACGCGTCAAAATGGCATTGCTGTTGATGCTCATTTCGTCGTATCGTGAATTCGTGAAGGGAGAGAAATCTGGATACAAACAAACAAACGAGGACGTCTCCTTGTCAATTTGACGCTCTTCGTTGAGGTCCCTGGCCCCCGGTCCCATCGACTCTCCTCCCCGGCATGTGTGACAGGGATCAAGCGGTAGGATCCCGGATGCAAGCACTTTGAATTGGCTCGTGCAACACGGCGAAGGTTGATGAGCCACTTTGTGGGGTTTCGTGAACCCTGGACATTCCACTTGCGCCCCTTCTCGCTCGTCAGCTCTAGGCACAGCGGGGACCAGGTGCTGTTGACAGAAGGCCAGATGCTTCGGATTGATGGCTATCGTCCAGGTTGATTGATTGAGTACAACCCCATGCTTCAGCCTTTGATGTCACAGGATGGCGCAAGTGGGAGGCATGGACCCCTTTCTTTCGCGCAGGTCGAGCGTCTCGATCATCCTTTCTACAGGCTCAAGAACTCTTCTGTCTCAGAGGTGTTACTGCTGCAGGAGACAGAGTTCATAATAAGGTGTGGAGGCTCGTTATAACGGAAAGACCAAATGGGTATCTATCTGGCTTAACGAATGGGGGACTGCGCTGGCGGAGACGAGCGAGGGAGAGAGATGGTTGGTGACGACGACCCAAAACTAGTGGCGTGCCGCGAAATGATTCCTTTTTCTTGCGGGCAGTCCGAGACGCGGATGAACGCTGACTGAGAGGGCAATTTGCTCAGCTGGGGCCAGAGGGGGAATGTCCGACGGCCGGCCGGT